AATTTAGTTCTCTTAGACTAAATTACTAAACTTTTTATATTTATCTAAGATATCTATTTAGAGAAGTAACTATTACTACTATAAGAGATACTAATATAAACTTCTTTAGAGTACCTCCTATAGGATATAAGTATTATATCTACCTTATAATAAAATTAATATAATAACTTAGTAATAGATAATAAGAATAACTAATTTAAGCTTTTTAGAAGTTTTAAATTAATTTCTTAGAACTAATACTATAAAGCTTTAGAAGTATTATTTATAGCTTTTATATTATAGAAACCTTCTTAAATTATAAATAGTTCTAAGTATTTAAATTAAAAAAAGATATAACTATTTAGCTATAAAGCTAGTTTCTAAAAAAGATTATAGTAATAAATAGTATTATTTATTTCTCTAAAATTATTATAGATAATAATATAGCTTTTTTTAAAGTAATAGAACTTTTTATTTAAAAGTAAGGTTTTATTTTAGAAATAGTAATACCTTATTCTTATTAGTAGAATAAGGGGGTAGAAAGCTTTAATAGAGCTATATAATAAAAAGTATAAGTAATATATATAGAAACTAGCTTTCTTAAATCCTTCTAACCTTAGTTAATAAAGATTTCTATAGAAGTTAGTAATCTACTATTTAATAATAAAAGTAATATTAATCTTTATAAAAAACTAATAAATACCTTTAATATATCTCTTATTATAAAGAAACTATATATATATTATCTCTACTACTAGAGCTATTAAACTTATATCTATATTTATTTAGATAGCTATCTATATATAAAAAGGTAGAAGATAAAATTTAAAACTAAACTTAGAAGATTTATAGAATATAATAACTTCTATAGTAATATCTTCTATATTCTTATTAAAAGGACTAATAATATTTAGTAAGTAAAGGATATAATATTTAAAGAAGATAAAAGAGAACTTCCCCTAATTAAATTTAATAACTTATAACTAAGAGAAGAGGTTAAGTTAGAAATCTATAAATATAATAATAAATTACTAATTATAACTTATAAAACTAAGTTTTAGTTTTATAATTTAAATATAAAGTTATATTATTATATTTATTCTACTAAATAAGAATTACTATAAGAGGAAGTAGATAATTTATATTTAAAAGAAACTTAAGAATTAGAAAGTAATAATAAATAAGAATAAAAAGATAAACCTTTTTAAAAATAAAAAGAAATTAGTAGAAAGGAGGGTAATTTACTAACTTTAAATCTAAAACTATATATATTAATACTAAATATTAGTATTATAAATATATAAATATAATTAATACTAAAAGAAGCTTCTCTTTTATAGTAAAATAATTAATATATTCCTCTAAAGTAATATTCTCTTATTACTCCTCTAAAGTAGAGATCTCTTATTACTCTTTAATAATAATAATTACTAGAGGATACTTTATAATAATAAAGCTCTCTTAGTATTTTACTTTAAACTTCTTACTTAATATAAAGAAAATAGAGGGGAAGACTAAGAAGTAGTAATAAGAACTTTATCTTTATAAGATTACTAAGAGTAACTACTTTTTTTTCTATTTAAATAACTTAGATATTTAGAACCTAAGTATTATATAATATAAAGAAGTTTAATAGGGAATTTAGTAAGATAGAGGCTATAAAGATTAACTTAATTAATAATAAAATAGATTAAGAACTAATTACTTTTACTTTCTTAGTATCTAACTTATTATAAGTTTTTAGTTTAGAGATTTACTTATTTATAACTTTTAAGAAATAAGAGGTAATAGAAGAAGGACTTCTAAAGTTAGTTATTTTTAATATTATAAAGACTTAAGTTAATAGTTTATAAGGGATAGAATATTAATAGTTTAAAGAGCTTTTAAATAGTTTTAAATATCTCTTAAGTAAATAGGTATATAATAAAAAAGTTATTATAAATAGAAGACTTAATAGAGTTAAAATAAGATAGGTTATTTATAGTAATTTTTAAAATAAGGATAATAAAATAGTCTATATTACTATTACTAATTTTATTACTTTATAAGTCTTTTTATTAATTATAATACTTAAAGATCTAAAACTTTATTAAATTAATATAGTTATAGCTTTCTTAAATACCTTTATAAAAGATTATAATATCTTTATTACCTAACTTTATAAGTTTAATAATAGATCTAGTTAGTTTTATAAATTAAAAAAAGCTCTCTATAAACTAAGAGAATCCTTTCTTCTCTAGTATAAATAAATTATTACTATCCTTAAGTAATTAAGGTTTAATTTATTCTTAAAAGAACTTTATATTCTTATTAATAAGGATAGTATTATAATATTACTTTATATTAATAATATACTTATTACTATACTTAATATTAAATAAGTTAATAACTTTAAAAATAACTTATATAACTTCTTTTAGATTAAAGATTTAGGTAAGATATAATAGTTTCTTAAGTTTAAGATTATTTACTATTAGAAAATAAGATAACTTTAGATTTTATAGGTTAAGTATATTAATAATATACTAATAGAGAAGGGTATTACTAGATATAACTAAGTTCCTTACCCCCTTAGTAATACTTAGTTATTAGAGATTATAGAATAATATAAAATACTTATTAAGATATATAAATATTAAAGTAATCTAAGTAAATTATAGTAGATTATAAATAGTATATAACTAGATATTATAATACCTATAAGTAGAGCTACTAGAGATTAATAATATACCTCTAAAAAGTATAATAAACTACTAAGATTAATATAGAGATATCTCTATAGCTTATAATAACTAGTACTCTACCTTAGTAGTCTAAGTTATTCTATTAATAACCTTAAATTATTAGTATTCTATAACGCTAACTAGTCTAATTATAAAAGAATAGGTAAGTTAATAGCTAGCTATATAGTTATATATAGAGGAGTACTAATTACTTAGAAATTAGTATTATAATTATTTATAGCTATATTAATTTATAAAGCTAAGTAAATAAATCTAATACCTAAAGGGAAAGCTCTACTATATATTATAGATCTCTTTAAAGGGATAAATATCTCTATTTACTTACCCCTCTAAATATATATAAATTTTATAAATACTTTTAATAATTACTTATTAAGTAAATAGTTATTTAAATTATACTATATTAAGATTAAATATTATTAGATTATNTTAATAATATTAATAATAAAGACTTTAAGATTAATTATATCCTAACCTATAAAATAGTTACTAATAGCCTCACTAAACTACTAATAGTAGAGAAATATTATAACTTTATTAGAATACTAAGTTTATCTAAACTACCTATAACTAATAATAAGTCTTAATCTAAAGATAATATCTTAAAACTTAATCTTAATTAAGTCCTATATACTTATTTATTTCTCTTATATATAATAACTTTATTCCTTTATATCTTACTAACTAATTAACTTTTATAGTTAGATTTTATATTATTTTAATTACTTTAATTTGCTCTTTTTAATAGTTAAATTACTAACTATAAAAGTCTCCTATATAAGAAGTTATCTAATAATAAAAGCTTAGAAAGTAATTAAAGACTTTAATTTCACTAAGTTATAACTTTATTACTAAATTAGATATCTTAGTTAATATTTATCTATATTAAAATATAATAATACTAACTACTAAAAGAGATATAAGTTTAAGTTTAACTTACTTAATTTTAATTAAATCTTAAGAGTATAAGTTAGAATAAAAGTAAAAAGAGAACTAAACTTTATANTATTTTCTAATAATTATTTTAATTAATTAAGTTTATATAAATTATTAATATATCTTAAAACTAATTTTTATAAGAATTTATAAACTCTATTTATTTTAAGGTATTAAGTTTAACTATAGAATATAAAACTTATATTATTTAATTAATATTAAAGAGTTAATTAGACCTAATTACTATAAATCTAATTTAAACCTAAAACCTTAAAGTTAAATTATTAGTTTTTTTAATCTAAGTTTATATAATCTAAAAATAACTAAACTATTAAACTATATAATTTAAGTTTATATTAAAGTTATTTTAAAATTAATAAGGGTTTTATATTATAATTAGTATATAACTAAAAGTTAAAAATTAGAAATATTTTAAGAAATAAAATAGAATAATAAAGTTAATATAGAAAAGAAAGTATAAAGGAGATAGTTAAGAATAAAGTTAATAGTTATATAATTAACTTAATTACTATTTTAGAATAGGAATAGTTTTATAGGGAGTACTAGTAGTATTAGCTAAAAGGGGGGTATAAGATAGTAGTTAGTTAGGTTTAAGTTTAAGGCCTAAATCCTAGCTTAAATCCTACCTTTATATAAGGGGTTAGCTACACTACTTTATAGCTAGGCGCGCCCAGCGCTTATAGCTAGATTAATTAAGCCACTTCACATAAGACGTAATGAAAGTATTACCTGATTATTAATGCAACTATTTAAAATCCTATTTCTGGCCATCTTACATAGATATCTGACGACTATTTGTATGTTCACACGAAGCGTTGGCTGCGTTGACTTGACCGCGAAGGCAAATATCCTAATGGCGGTCTGATTAAAGGCAACCGCAAGTCCGGAGCAACATTCCGCGTGGGACATCTTCACTAGTTCTTTGACACGAACAAGGTGTTCGGAAATGTCAGGCCCAGTCTGCTTGAAATAAAAAGAATGTTTCCCAGATGGAGAAGTGGTGGTTGATGGTCATACTGCCTTGAGAAGGATGGCGCTGTTTATTATCACGGGGTGCTATTGGTAGGTCTGCTATTCGCCCAGCGTACATTAACACGCTAGCAGTTCCAGCAATAAGGGGACACTTGACCCCCGGTGCTTCTAAGGCATAGACGTCAACTTGACTGTTATTCTTCATTATCACTGGACTGCGCCGCATGACAGCGTCAACTCCTACGTCTAGGCAACCACATTTAGCACACAAGCTTTAAAGTGATTATGTTCCCTCAAAAGCCCATGTCGTGAACAAAATCCATTCTTGCTGACAACTCTCACGCCATCATGCCAACGTCAACGCTCTCGCAGGTAACTTTTGTCAACGTTGGGCCCTTGACGACAACGTGGACCGCGCCCTCAGCATGCGCGACGATTACGCCACCTCCATACCTGGCTCAATCTTACCAGGCCGCTGCTGGCATACCCTACTGGACAGAGGATTGTGCCGCCCTATTAACGGATGATCCTTTCAACGAATGCGTGCCATCTGCTACAAAGATGAACGAGGATTGGGCCTCGCGAAAGGATAACCCACTGATAGGCAACGCAGTCTACTACCACTCCCCCGGGACCGTTTGTCCTTCAAACTGGACAACTGTGGGAGTTGCTGCCAGAGGCGATGGGACATCTTACAGCCTTTCCGGCATATACGCTGACCCGACATTCACCCTCATCCAGACTGACAGCACGACAACACACTTCGTAACTCAGTCAGGGGTGGAGCCCGACATACAGCCAGCAGCCAACATGTTCATGTCCGCGATCGAGCCTCACGAGACCGCTGTAGCCTGCTGCCCAAGGTACTTTGAACGCGTTGCCGATCGCTAGGATTTCATGGACAAGCATTGTGTACTGACACAAACCTCTCAGCGGATACACGGCAAGGGCACTCGGTTTGGGGTGCTTCTCTTACATCCCGCGAGAATGGTACACTGCAACCACTGGCTGTCAGCTGATTGTCGACAACGATGTATACACCCTCATCGACAATACATACACATACCACGGCCGGACGGTCACTGGCCGATTCCCGTCTATTATTGCGTCCACCGCGACCCGGCACATCGAAACTGAAACCATCGAGCCTGATGAAAGCTCGAGTTTCATTGGAATTGTGGTGACACCAGGGGTTACGTTGGTGAACAAGGCACAGGATACGGGATCTGGAACCGGAGGGGGTGCAAGCACAGCCAAAGGCCAAGCTGATTCGACAGGAACACCGAATGCCGCAGCATTGACCAAAACGAGAGGATCAGGACTTTCCGGCCTGGTTGTCATGGTTTTAGGCGTTTCCACACTGGCTGGTGCAGCTTTGATGCTTCCTTTGTGATCCTGATTTTCACTATTTATTAAGTCTTCAATGTTGTCTCGAAGTGAGACCTGGACCTAACCAGCCTTCGCCAAAAGAAGCAAGGGGAGGGATACCAATTATGGCGATGATAAACACAAGGACCTTTGGGTCAGCAGAAAGGGAAAACACGTAGTAAATTGAAGAAATCTTGTGCCCTTAAACACAACACTCTTTTGCAGATGATCATTTATAATTGTGTGCAATCAATGTTCGCCCAAGCCATACAATCACTCCAACTCCTATACTATCAAACTATTTAACATGCGTTGAGAGACGTCTGTCCTTTGCAATTAGCCGTAGTAGTCACCTTCGAACTCTCCTGTCCCTTCTGGACACCCTTGTATTCCTGGCACACCTTCGTAACCGCTGCGCCACATGAGTTGGACACGGTAGACACGTCGCCGAAGTTGGAGTTGATGCCAGTGAGAAGCTTGACGTTGTTCGCTTTCACATTTTCAATGACAACATTGCGGGGCCCTCCATTATTCGCACAGTTGCCGCAAGCACGATACAGCCGGTTCGATCCTACCACTGTAAAGTCCTTGATGGTAACGGTCCCCTTGCCTTGATGGAGAATGACATTTTCGATTGCAGACTGTGCACCTCCTCCCTGAATGAGGATGTCGCCGTTTCCAACAAGCGTGATTGCATCTGTGTTATTTACGTCAGCCCTCTGGCGCATCCTCTTTACCAGACATCTGACATGGCTCCTGAGTGTTGGAAACAGTAGCTTACCATCGCAAACTTTGCGAAACCAGACGTTCTTCAGCGTGCAAGCTCCTCTGCAGTGGATACCCTCAACTTGAGCGATGCCAATAATGGCATTGCTGAGTGTCGCGCCGTCGTCCAGGATGAAGACAGGATGGCCATTTGGTGTCTCGACGTCTGTCTCGCATGCGCGTCCTCGGTCGTATTCCTTGTTTCCCATGTCCTTTGAACCAGAAATCACGCTCGGCGCAGGGAGAGAGATGATGGAGCCACTTCTTGCTGGGATGTTGAGCGTCTGCCCAGTGACAAGACCGGCAAGAATTGCAACGGGGAGGAACTTGGCAACGGCCATGGTCATCATGTTGAGGGAGTAGATCAACTCTAGACAGTAGCTTCAGATATGCTCAATGATGTTGAGGTACAGCCATTTTCGAGTTTCTGGACTTTATCAGTCAGTTACTTAAATAGTTAACATCGGGAGATGACAGGTTGCCATCAGATGAGGTGAATAAGGAGGGCGCCACGCTTCCCCATTGGCTTCCACCTTATAGCTCGTATACGCTTGTTTGTATCCATCTGGAAGAAAGCTTGGCAATATGTGTAAGACGGTGTGAAGAGTAGAAACAATTTTCCGTGTGGGCTAGTGCCTCCCTTTGTTTCCTCGCGTTCCGTGGATTCCATACAAGTAGGGCGGAAAACCAGGAGAATGGAAATGTTCCATCTCACGACAAGCCACTTGATTCGTGGTTAAATACAAGAATGCATGCAGGTTGAGACTGCGGACTAGAAGTCCGCTCTTGGGAAACTGTCCGACCATAATTATTCCACTCATCACCTTTTTAAAAACAGGCTCCCCCGTCGGTTCAGAGTGAAAACAAGCGACGCGATGGTTTGAAACTTCTTGGCAACGATCACCATTTGGAGCTGCCGTCCCACTGACTGTACCCCTTAATCCTGAAGACCCCTTGTTCTGTCATCCCACCAGTAGGACCTCGCGATCCACCGAGTCGAATTTGGTATTAGACCCCCCAGACCCTAATCAGTCATCACCAAGACTGTCCAATAACTTGGCCGATGGCACAAAAAACGTACAACCCGTGACTGCTTTCGAAAAGTCCAATATCCTGTCATGCAGCCCAGGCGGATTGCCAATGAACATCCGCTCAAGCATCCTCTCCGTCACCCAGAGCTTCTTGGAGTATCCGATGAAGTAGGTGCCAAACTCCCCAGAAGCTGGAGATCCAAAAGGCATGTTGTCCCTGAGGATGTCATGCTCGTTTCCATCTTCGTCCTCAATGGTTGCTAGGCTCTTGTGAGACTGCTGGTATCCATCCTCCGCGTCGTCTAGCTCTATGTTGTCCAATTTTGTCCGCCCGATGATGGCTTCCTGATTCTCCGTAGACAGGCTGCGCCACGCCTTGAGATCGTGTAGATATTTCTGCACCACGACGTAACTTCCTCCGGGTGCGGCCTTGGTCTTGTCATCATCTTGAGTGATGACAACAGCTTCAGAGACGTCTGGGCCGACGGGGTTAGCTGTGCCGTCGACGAACCCGAGCACATCGCGTGCATCAAAATACCGAAAGCCAACCGTCTCATCCTCCGTCTTGACTGCATCGCCTAGCAGATCCATGAGCTGTCTTTCAAACTCGAAGGACATGTCTCTCCTTTCCGATCGAATGTGAAATAATAAGTCACCTGGTGTCGATACTGCAGTGTGTCTAGCACCCCGGATCTCTTTAAATGGTCGCAACTCTGTCGGCCGGGGCAGCTGCGTGAGCTCATCCCAGACTTTGCTGCCGATGCCCACGGTGCACGAGAGATTGGCGCTCGGATGGCGGGTCGAAATGTTCTTGGTTATGTCCGATATGCTTGAGACGGCGGATCGAATGTTCTTGATGCCATCGGGTACATCTGTGGCCGATAAGACGAGAAAGGTGGCCGATTGGGTCAAGGGGGCCTCGACAGCTTGGGGGTTCATCGTAACCGATGAGCTGAAGCTGCGACGTGACGAGAATGGACGTTTACGGTTGAACGGTATGAGAGCCGAGCTGCACGGGCGCGGACGCTTGAGTTTAGTGATCGGTGCCACGGGTGGTTTTTGGGAAGCAAAGAACTTGGCGATCTGGATCACACGCATGTTGTTGACCTTCAAAACAGTTCATTCACTGCGGCCAGCTGCACAGTATTTAGGGGATATTGAAGGCCGTTAACAAGTTTGACAGCAGGCGTGCAAATAGGGTGCGTTCACGGCATTGGAGACCTCGGGATCATGGGTACATTTGGCAAGGGTGAAAGTTCATGGGCAGCAAAAGCATAGCGCGGCGCACTGGCAAGAGCATCATCAGTGAGCTTACAGAAGCAACTTCAGTGTCGGTGTTTGCAAGAAGGCAGATAGCTGGCTGCCAGTGATAGTTAAACCAATAGTAAGGCGTGCATTGCAGATGCAAGCTGTGCGATTTGCGATGCCGAAGCTTCTGCGCGGGATGATGCGCGGAGTTTCGGGATCGATCCGGCGACCCACAACGGCAGACACCGAAGGCGAGTGTTCGGGAAGCTCTTTCACTGGCAGACGCAAGGACCCCGATGTTGCCCCGGGGAGGCGGTGGAAGCTTGTTCTCGGCTTTATTCTAAGGTGGGTGGCCTTGCGGGAGCCTCGACCAAGCCATTTGCAGCTAGATAAGCACGGAGATCGGCTGTTGGAGCAGGATGTCCATTGTTACGGGGGCTTCAGCGCGTTGCAGCGTAGTTTTGACTCAATCGCCTGCTGGAATGAGGGCGATGGTTGTCAGCGCGACCAGTGTTTAGCAGTCATCAGTGTGTATTCTACTCTTCATACATCATCTTTGAGCTTGGTCAAAATCAAGTAATTCAGCACTTCATGTGAGGCAAGTCTAGTTTTCGACAATCAATTCGGTTTGGCATTTAATGTCTTGTTGTTATTTTCGTTGCCCATATTACGTATAAGCAATTCCTTACGAAGGCCACCGCAAAGAAAACCTAGCATCATCGTTCGGGGCCAATTTACTCATCCTCAGCGTCTCTCGGATCGTGACTCTTCCAATACTTGTCGTAATCATCCCAACTCTGGGATGGGAAAGCGAGGGGAACGGTGATTGGGGCAAACGGAATGCCCTTGTCTGCAAACTCTTGGAGGCGGGCCTTGGTCTTCGGTCGGGTGTTGTTCACGCTGTAAACCGAGATTCTGTGGCAAGAGCTGGTGACGTGCAGGCCCCAGTTCCATGCAGTGCGCACATCGGGCGGCTGGGTGTTGAGAGAATTGTCCCAGCAGCGACAGACGATCTCAATCCATCCTTCAACATCGCACGGCAGATCCATCTCCCAAGTTCGCCAGGTCCATTTGCGCTTCTTTGAGAGATTCTCAACGGGTACCGTGTACCAATTGAACCCTCCGTCGGACGAGAGCTCAACGCGCTCCGGCCAGCGTCCACCACCAGAGTAGGCCCATCCCTTGCAGCGAATCTTGCCGTTGTGGATGACGACCTGCTTGGTCCAGGGCGACATGATGGCCGAGCTGACTGGCATTTCTTGAATCTGGATGCCATCTGTGAGCTTCAAGTTGTGCTTGCCGACCTGCTGGGGGAAGTAGAGGTACTCCTGGCTCTGGACCGGCGCGCGGGTGGGGTTCTTGATGGCCTTAATGCGGTAAAGCCACTTGACGCTTCGAGCGCCGATGTAACCGAAGACGACAATGCGAAGGGGGTATCCATGAATGCGCGGGAGGACTTCGCCGTTCATCTCCCAGGCCAGCATGACCTCATTGGCCTTGACCTTGGACCAAGGAACACTAACGAGGTAGTTCATCGTCTTGTCGTCCTTGAAGTAGGTGTCCGCGCCATAGAACTCAAGGTGCTTGGCTCCCTCAATGAGTCCACCACAAGCCTTGATTACCTTCTTGAGACTGATTCCGACGTATTTGGCAGTGCCGATCGCGCCCTCTGCCCATGGAGCTTGGGGTACCTCGTCGCCCTGACCGGGATACTTGAGGATCTGCTCAATGCGTCGGGTTCCAGAACACTGCATCGTGATAGTCTTCTCCATGCGAGGAAATTTGGTCTCGTCCATCAAGTCATCTAGAGTGAACGACTTGGGGTTCGCAACGAGACCGTCAAGAAGGAAGCTGTAGTGTTCCTTATCGATAATCGGGATGCCGCCGTGGTTTCGGACGAAGTGGAGGGGGTTCGGGGTGATCTCCTTATCGGTTACAAGGCGCTTTGGAGGCTCGCCATTGTAGGGAAACTGGAGAAGAT